TATACAATCTGGCTGTAGATTATTTTTGTATAGAAAATAGGTAGGCTACGCAATGTTTGATAGGATTTTATACAATAAAATTTCCACATACCATCAACTCTAATGACAGGCTATGGAATCGCTTTCTATTAACCTACCTTGTCAGGTAAGATTGGTGAAAGCGTCCATGTTGTAATTACTCATTTGTTGGCTACACATTTCTTTAGTGTTACAAGGTCTACTACCCAAGTTACTTATGGTTCACGATTGTGAGTGCTTAAAATATTCTGGCAAAGACCAAAAACAGGAAATCAAGGAGACAAAGATTGAAGCTCGACTAAACAATAGAACTTCAGGACCTCTAATGTGGTTTGGATGACCTCACAGCCCATCGGTCAGGTTGAAAACGTACCTCCTTGCATCTAGTCATGGCGACAGAGCGCCACTGGAGTTTATGGTTTAGTGGGACATGTACAGGACTGTCGGGTTGGTTTTGCCTTTACTGACACCTTGTGGTAAAATGTCCAACAGTGTAAAACAGGCTCAGAATAAAATAGCCTACACAACAGCCGTCAAGAAAGGCCATAGTACATTTGTCTGAACAAACATGGCCTTTCCTATGCTTCTAGGCCATTATAAAAATAACAATATGAACAAGCAAGCAATTTGAGTTACAATTAGGTTTTTATTGACTTTTGTACAAAAAGGAGGTATGATGACCATGATACATAGCTGGCAAAGAAAAGGCCATGTTAATTTCATCAGGCTTAAACCCCCCCCAAAAAATTGGGGGTGAAAACGAATGGCATTTCAGATACTGGCTGATGTATGAGTAAAAACAAAACATTCAAAAGAAATGAGTTCACTAAAATGTTTACATCTAGTAATCCATTTTTCTATTTACACATTTTGAAAGCTTTGACCTCAAGTTATCGTATTTCTCCTTGAAGTATTGAGTCATCAAGCGTCTGAAAAAACAATTCCGTTTCAGGCAAAAACATGGATACGAATGAGTAAGGGTATTTCTCTATCCCAGATATAATTGGGCAGCATGTCAACCTGGAGCTGAAATCAATACTTCGTTATAACACTGACCCCCTATTGACTACGAAATAACATTGATACAGAGAGCGGAGCAGTAGATTCTTGAGTTACTAGTTGTCATTTCCAGTACCATAAAAAATAACTTTTAGGCCTACTTTTCCCAAACTGTACCGTGGCCATATAAAATGAGTAGACACTCACAGGCAGACTCCTGTTCTGCCAATAGAGAAGCCATAATGGGAACTATCAAGATGGCTTCCACAATCCTAAATGGATTAGTCATCATTAGTGACACGGTTGAGGTATTGCCACCCTACTCATGCCATGTTCAAAACAACTGGGAACTCAGAAATCTCCAACTAAAGTTTTTTTTTATTTAACCTTTATTTAACCAGGTCAGTGCGTTCAAGACAACTGGGAACTCAGGGGGGAAAAAACTGAGCTCCGACTGGGAAAAATAGTTTGGAACGGTCATCCAACTCGGAAACTTGGGCCTCTTTCTAGAGCTCCGACTTTCCGACCTGAAGATCACCGACGTCATGATTACATTTTTCCCCGAGATCACAGTTGTCTTGAACGCACCGTCACCAAAGACTGTTGGGAAAGACAAGTCATGAGACTGCAGATATGCTGGCCTGTGTAGTGTGTTTTGTTTCCAATACAACAGAGGAGTCTTGAATTGAAAGCAGAACAGGGCAGTCACTAGTGTCTAACAAGATCACCTTATATGTAAGTCTATGCTCTACAACAAAATACGTCACAGTTGTGTACTGTCCACTGGTTACTCAAGTCACAGTATGACTAGCAGGGCACTGACAGTAACGAAAACGGCTAGGCTATAGTCTGTGGGAAAAGGAGTCCAGTATATTCATTCACATTGCGGTTTTAATACAGTATGCCAGTGGAAAGGAAAATACTTGAAATTGGCTTGAAAATGAGCAACGATCGTAGATAAAGACACTGATTCAAAGCTTCCATGTACAGAAGGACATTTACAACCACCTAAATGACACGCTTCATAATCCCATGTAGCCTCTGCACTGCCGAAAAGTCTTGTCAGGAATCCAGAGCCAGAATAAGTTTAAACTACTTCATGGAGACTTGAACACCAAAACATAATCTTGTCATATTCATTAATATTGAGCTCCATATCATATTATTTTTTTATACTGAAATGGCAGATTAAGAATTTGGAACAAAGGCACTTAACCCTAATTGCTCCTGTAAATCACTCTGGATAAGCGTCTACTAAATGACTAAAACGTAAAGAGCTGATAGGATGTAGTAGCAGTCGACACACATGGAGGATACTATGGATAGCAAATGGGGTAAAAAGGGTAATTTACACAAAATCCAATTATTTTATGAAAGCCATAAAAGTAAAGACCATTTTTCAGCATCAAGCCTTGCATGATGTAAAATTAAATACAATATTATAAAAAAAACTTTAACAAAATAAAAAATGTCAACACACCATGTTGCAACAGGTTCAAACAACTTACAATAGTACACAAACGCAGTCAAACAAATCATTTGCAACTTAACTGCAGTATAATAATAATACATGGACCTAAGCAAAATACACACAATAGTTGATATGCATATTCATGTACTATACACACACACACAAATGAATATCCTTCGTAAGATTAAGTACTCCGAACTGTACAATATCTGCAATGGGAACTGTTGAGCAAAATACCGTTTTTGCATATACAGTAACAGTATTCTTATAATACAAGATTAAAAATGTCCCACACACACAATAATTTGTTAAGCACAAGCCCCAAAAGGCCACAAAAGTGCATAAAAGTTGAGTGGGAAGCCACTGGCAAGGCAGGGCTCCAATGTAGGAGCTAGTATGTACAGTAATGTAGAGTAGCTTTGCCTTGCTCCTAACCTCAGTGATCTACACTGAACAAAAATATAAATGTAACATGTAAAGTGTTGGTCTCATGTTTCATGAGCTGAAATAAAAGATCCCAGACATTTTTCATACGCACAAAAAGCTTATTTCTCTAAAATGTTGTGCACAAATTTGTTTACATCCCTGTTAATGTGCATTTCTCTTTTGCCAAGATCGTCCATCCACCTGACAGGTGTGGCATATCAAGAAGCTGATTAAACAGCATGCTCATTACACAGGTGCAACTTGTGCTGGGGACAATAAAAGGCCACTCTAAAATGTGCAGTTTTGTCAAACACAATGCCACAGATGTCGCAAGTTTTGAGGGAGCGTGCAATTGGCATGCTGATGGCAGGAATGTCCACCAGAGCTGTTGCCAGATAATTTAATGTTCATTTCTCTACCATAAGCCACCTCCAACGTCATTTTAGAGAATTTGGCAGTACATCCAACCGGCCTCACAACCACGTGTATGGTGTTGTGTTGGCGAGCGGTTTACTGATGTGAACGTTGTGAACAGAGTGCCCTGTGGTGGGGTTATGGTATGGGCAGGCATAAGCTACGGACAACGAACACAATTGCATTTTATCGATGGCAATCTGAATGCACAAAAGTACCGTGACGAGCTCCTGAGGCCCATTTCTTTTAAGGTATCTGTGACCAACAGATGCATATCTATATTCCCAGTCATGTGAAATCCATAGATCAGGGCCTAATTAATGTATTTCAATTGACTTGATTTCCTCATATGAACTGTAACTCAGTAAAATCTTTGAAATTGTTGCATGTTGCGTTTATATTTTTGTTCAGTATACATGATTCACTTTTAGTGCAGGGAACTCTGTACCAGATATCAGGGAAGTTTGCCCTCACCACACACACACTAGTCAGTTTCTCTCGCACGCACTTATGGTCACAGTCCGAGTCTCACGAACACACAGGTTGGGAGAGATGATGAAATGACATTAACACTACCAGGCTTCAACACTTAACAAATTATCTTCAAGTAGCGGCATCACACCGGTAGATAGATCTCTAACCTGCTAAGTGTTGGTACCTGTTGGAATGACTCGCACCCCATCTAGGGCAGTGAAGTCTAGTTCATTCATGAGACAACTAGGTCCCTCACAAGGACTAGTATCAGAGAAACAATACCATTATACAAAACACTGAAATGATAGTCAGCTTTCAAAACAAATAAACCACTGGTTAAGTGTCAGAGGCATGTGTTGTGATCGGCGATCACTAGTCTTGTGCAGCAGTGCACCATATGCATAGCTTCAGACTGGGGAATGCTTGAAGCCAACCTCATTGTAGTGAGTGTATGGTTTGCTTGTTATTCTCTTATGATATACAGTTAACTGCCAAAATAAAGAAAACACTTGAGTAAATGAGGGATACAAAGTATATTGAAAGCAGGTGCTTCCACACAGGTGTGGTTATTGAGTTAATTAAGCAATTAACATCCCATCATGCTTACGGTCATTTATAAAAATGCCCCGTTTTTTCTCAGGGACTTTGAAAGAGGGGTTTCATAGGAACATAGAGGGTTTAGTCACCAGATCTCAACCCAATTGAACACTTATGGAAGATTCTGGAGCGACGCACGCCTGAGACAGCGTTTTCCACCACCAACAAAACACAAAATTATGGAATTTCTCATAAGAGAATGGTGTCGCATCCCTCCAGTAGAGTTCCAGACATTTGTTAAATCTATGCCAAGGCGCATTGAAGCTGTTCTGGTAGCTCGTAGTGGCCCAATGCCCTATTAAGACACTTTGTTGGCATTTCCTTTTCTTTTGACAGTTACATGATCTTAAAAGGCCCAGTGCAGGCAAAAACATGATTTTCCTGTGTTTTATATACATTTCCACACTATGAGGTTGGAATAATACTGTGAAGTTGTAAAAATGATAATGCCCTTTTAGTATAAGAGCTGTTTGAAAAGACCAACTGAAATGTCAGACAGTTTTGGTGGGATGGAGCTTTGAGTTAATAGACGAATAAGAAAAAGTTCCAAACCTCTCTTCCAATAGCAGCTAGTTTTCCCCTCCCCACTCCAACAGTCCTAGCAAAATTCTTGCCTGAGAAATTGATCTGGGAAAAAAATTGCAAGTTGAAAATAAAGAAACCCCCACCTCCCCCCTTTTCCGACATTCCATAACCACCTCCCCCCTTTTTCCGACATTCCATAACCACCTCCCCCCTTTTTCCGACATTCCATATCCACCAAACCTGGGTTCAAGTTACTGAAACAGAGCATGCAAAGCTTGTTTCAAACATTAGTTTACATGCTAAATCCTAGTGAAAAAGCGCTGACCTAATCAAATCTATCTACTGCAGAATTTAGTTCAACATATTTTCTGTAATGTTCATAATGTTATTATGACACCTGTTTTTGATAGATTGTTTTCAAGCATTCCCCTTTCAGATTGTCATCTCCGATACAGGCTAAAGCAGATTGGTTTCATTCTACAAAGAGACAGCGACAAACTTAAAAAACTCTAAAGGCCACAACATGATTTCCGTCTTTCCTTCAGAGACATCTCCTGTTTGACAGGCTCTATAAAAGACTGACCCAACTGTCTCTCTCAGTCCCTCTTTCCTCCTCCCACCCCATCCTTTCTCTGTCCCCAGACCATAGAGCCCCCTTGAGGAGAGACCTGTAGGCTTAGGGGGTGGGGTTGTTGGTTGGGAAGTAGGGGGGGAGGGGGGGAGGGGGGCTCCTGTTCTGGTCCATATCGGTTTTCCTTTGGTCTCCATCTTAGATATCCCCAACCAAGTCAGTCACTTCCTCTCCAGACAGGAAGGGGAGGGGCTAGCGTTGTAGCAGGTAGACCACCATCTCGTAGGTGGACATCATGATGGCAGTGTTGGGGATCTGGCGGACCAGATGGGTGGTGAGACCACGGTACAGGGCACGGTAGCCCTCCTCCTTAGGTACTGTCAGTAATGTCTGGAAGAAGGAGCGGTACTTGCTGCCCTCCTCTCGTAGCCGGGTGCGGATCACCTCTACAAAGGGAGGAGAGCAGAGGGGGAAGAGGAGTGCGGGGGGGGGGGGGGAGAAGAGAGGGAGAGGAGAGAAGAGCGGGGTTAAGGGAAGAAGAGGGGGGTGAGAAGAGGGGAGGAGTAGAGAGAAGAGGGGGGGAGAGAAAAGAGGGAGAGGAGAGAAAAGAGGGAGAGGAGAGATGGGTTAAAGGGAAGAGGGGGGGTGAGAAGAGAGGAAGAAGAGAGAGAGGAAGAAGAGAGGAGAGCGGGGGAGTAAAGGGAAGAAGAGGGGGGGGGAAAGGAGAGAAGAGGGTGAGGAGAGAACTGAGTGACTTATTAACCCTGATGATTCGGTTTAAAAATATATATTATTGGCGATACTGATATCATTTCAACCGATAACCATATGGCTGATATATCGTGTATACCGTGGGGGTAGGCGATAGAGGTGGCACAGGTCTTGGAGGTGGCGGCAGCCAGCATCATGCCCACAAAGTCTGAGGCATCCCTCACCGACTCGTCCTCGTCCTGATCCATGCTGGCCTGGGCCTTGGACTCCATCAGCTTGCGCTTGATGCTCTCATAGATGACAAAATGGATAACCGTCTCGGAGATGCCGGCATACGAGGCAGACATACCCCGATAGAAGCCCCGCCAGCCCTCCGTCTGGTAGACCCGCCGCACGCACTCAAACGCATTCATGCGCCTCTCACCACGGTTCCTGTGGTAAAAACACGTGGGGGTCATATAGCTAACGGGATACATTTGGCAAGTAAGTAACATGTTAAAAGGGATTCGCAACATCCAATAACGTATTATGCTCTATTAATACTCAGAATAACATCCTTTCCCTTAGTACAATGAATCAAAACAATATGAAACTAGTACAATAAGCATAACATACTGTATTTAGAGAAGCAACAAAATACGAAACAGCTGTGGATTAACATTAAAAGCTTAGGGAATTTAAATCGTCTGCAGTCTGACTTTGGGGAATCCATGACTTCTACGGTATGTGGCCTAGATACAGCCTCCCTCCTCAGTGCTTACCTGGCATCTAGCTGCAACCGGGTCTTGATCAACCAGATGGGATTGGTCGCCGTGATAGCAGTGAATCCTGGGAAGAAGAGTTCAGAGGTTCAGACAGGGGGAGTGATGATGTGTGAAGGACTCAGCCTATCCAAGGACATAGATATATACTGGGGGGGGGGGGGGGGGGTATTTCACAAAGCACCACCAATGAGTTAGCCAGCCATCTAACAACTCTGTATTCCCTGGAGGATAAAGGAAGAAAAACTTGAATATAGGGAAGGATATTACAGACTCAATACTCGCAGTAGTAACCCAACGACATTCAACTTCAGCTAGCTTTATGAACTAGAAAAGTAAGGGTTAGAACTGAGTGCTGGCCAATCTATCAATCCTGCGTTTTGTGAAATACAACCCCAGTGCACTCTAAACAAAGCTACTTTCATTCAACTGGCAGCAGTGTGTGAAAGCTTTGTTGACATCTTTAAGCTGTGTTTATGAGCCTTTTATTTAAGTATTGGCAATCTCGTAAAACCTTTCCTTATCGCTGGTGCTCCAGTATCAGGCCAGAGATGATCATTTAAAAAAAACTTTATTACCTTTGTTAAGGGCAGACTGTCCTTCACAGGAATGGTATTATATGGACTGATTAGATTCCTCAAGGTTATTACAGCACAGGCAAAAACTCAGCTTAAAGATAGTCCAAGTAGCTAACATTATTCATAATCATATTTACAAGTTGCAATAAATAGAACCAAGATATAGCCTATAATTACTATAAATACTATTCCTTAGTGTTTATAAACAAGGTGGGCCTGAATCTCATGTACACTGAAGGCACTACAGAATTCTACGATATAGCATAGTGCTATGATATTGTTCAGCCCCCTCAATGATCATCATTATACTTCACTCCGATTAAGAGTGCATGATTTATATATATATATATATATATATAATATAGTCAATTTAATTTGAACAATAGTAGCTAGCTCCCAGATGGGGAGAGCTCAGCCCTACAGTAGGCTTACATCTTAAAGAGCAAATGATTGTATGAACGACGTCATGGTGTGAGCCTCAGCTGAAGGCCTCATTGGCTGCCATGAGGAAACTAAATGGAGTCTGGCTTTCTTGAATTATTCATGAGGACCAAAGCGGAATAAGTGAAACGGAATATCGCCGAGTGGAGGATTGCGAATGTTATTTCCCAGGGAAACTTGGAGTATATTTATAAATGCCATACCAAAACATTTACTATTTTAATAGTGTTATTAATAAGTTGCTTATACTTAATTTGGGTTTGAAATAGTTTTTAAAATCAGAGAGACCAATGAGTCCCCTGACAATGCATCAAGTCAGTATGTTAGTTCACAAAGAAGTGTCATGTCATACACATTACAAGGTATACAACAAATGTGTAAGGTGCAGGTAATTCTAGTGTGATAATAATGTGCATTTTTAAAAGACAGACAGTAATCCGGCACATAACTTGTGCTCTGTACCGATGTGGTCGAAATACTAAACCTCCAAACATGAACATAATTTAAAACATGGCCATTGGAACATCAACATACATTTACATCACTACATAGCATTTTCTCTAAACAAGAAACCAGGGGACAGTACTGTACCCACGACTAGAGCTTCTACTGTATCAAGGGACACAGTCCTAAGGAGACTGCGTGAAGAGGATGACAAGTCTGTCGAAGAAGAAGAATTAGAAGGAGATAGCGTCTATGGCGTGTACTCACAGAGTAGGGGCAAAGCTACTCCGCCTCACAGCTGCAGCTAGAAGCCTGCAGATATGGGGGCTGAGGTGGCGGGGGCTCTCCCCCCTCACGCAGGGGTGAAAGCTACAGTAAAGCCCTAAAATGACCACAGTCACACACAGGCAGCAGTCAACCAACCCACCCACAAACTCCTTTTATTTACATAGACGGGAGAGGAAACCTACCGATCCTACCCAATCACTGTATTTCTTTAACAGGTAAAATAGGAGGACAAGTATCAACCCCCCCCCAATCGGATATAAACGGATAAGATCCCCCTAAGCCGACCCATATCTCCCTTTTTATAAATAAACATAAGATAATCCTCCCCACTCCCACATTTTTACCCACCCTTTTTTAAACCAACTACTAAAAGGTGGGAGAGGAGAAAAGGGGTCACCATCTCTTCCTCCCCACTCTAACCCTCGACCCCTTGACCTTACCCGACCCACATCTGTTTTAAATGTCTCCTGTCATTTCCCTCCTCTACGTTGTGTCAGGTACTGTATGTTGCTCTTGGTAAGGGAAGAAAAATTGAAAGAAAATGCAAGTCTGTCATCAATGGAACATCACCCCACTGGTATAATCAAATTATGTGCAGCACAAAACAAATAAACATGTGGTACACAATAATAATATATTTAAACAATGTTCTTAGCTGATGCTACAGGTGCCAATCATTGTGAACCATTGCATCATTACCATAGTCACTTTTATTGATTCTAAACAGTAGCAATGGGGTCAAATAAAATGAGGGACAAAGTCAACAATGAAATAAAAAAGGTAAAATAGTGTAAGAGAGGGTTGAAATGCTAACCTTGTCAAGCAGACTTTTAAAGTCTAGAAACGACGAGCTTGGATGCTCTGATTTATTTATCTCTGATAAAGTGTTGTGATACCCCAATTCAACAATCCCACCCATCGGTTTCTGATCGTCTGAACAACTTCTTTCTAAAAGTTGTATGTATTCATGTAATTTTTATGTTGGGCAAAGGACTGTGTGGAGGCCAGATGTCTCAAATACATAGAAATTTTCCCCAAAATTAAACGTAATACTGGAGTGTCAGTCAGCCATTTCATGCTTGGCCCCTATGTTTCATATCTAAACTAATTCAATGGTGTGACCTAGTTCCAGTGTTATTACAATACAGCAGTACAATCATCTGCTATAATGCAGTGTGCTTTAGGCTGAATGGGGCCCTCTATTAAAATATATGATTAAGGTGATATCTGTCTGCACAAAGAGGGTCACATATTGTCCTCGAGGCTGTCAAAGTCCACAACCTAGTTTAAGGCTCTTGACATAGTAAGGGGGACCTGATTCAGCAAATATCCCTGCAGTGTAAATTAACCACATGAACTAGCTAGTCTATACAGGAGGTCTGTGGGAAGAAATAGACACACTAGGCCCTGAGCCAACTGTGGTTGTGTTGAACTCAAGACAAGGCTTTAGTATGTGTGCCAACTCGCTCCCTCTATCGGCATGTGTTACAGTGCTCCACTTTTCCCAACGAGTAAGACCTACATTTACTAAGAAAAATGCTTCAGATAAGCAGCTGGAGACCAGTTCTTAGCTCCACATAACTCCTATAGAGAGAGGGTTCGGGGAGTTGAATGACTGCAAAATGGGCATGATTATAGGCCAGCAGTGGGTATGATTTATGAATCTACACTGAGTATACCAAACATTAGGAACACCTTCCTAATATTGAGTTGCACTCCCCCCTTTTGCCCTCAGAACAGCCTCAATTCATCGGGGCATGGACTCTACAAGATGTCGAAAGCATTCCACAGCCCATGTTGACTCCAATGCGTCCCACAGTTGTGTCACGTTGGCTGGATGTCCTTTGGGTGGTGGACCATTCTTGATACACACGGGAAACTGTTGAGCATGAAAAACCCAGCAGCGTTGCAGTTCTTGACACACTGAAACCGGTGCGCACTTAACTCTTTTGTCTTCCCAGTTACCCTCTGAATTGCACACATACACAATCCATGTCTCAATTGTCTCAAGGCTTAAAAATCCTTCTTTAACCTGTCTCCTCCCCTTCATCTATACTGATTGAAGTGGATTTAACAAGTGACATCAATAAGGGATCATAGCCTTCACACCTGGATTCACCTGGTCAGTCTGTCATTGAAAGAGCAGGTGTTCTTAATGTTTTGTATACTCTGTGTACGTGGTCTATATAAATGGTCTATTCATTCTACGTCTGTAATTGAAAAATATGATATTATAGTGTGTCAGATGGTACAAAAAAGTCAGTAAGCATGTTTCTGTAAGTTGTACTTGGAGAACTGGCACTAAATTAAATTTGACTAAAAAGCATCTTTGGTCTAATTATTCTACATCTGTATGTGTAACTGAGGGAAAGGATTCAGAGGTGTCAAATAAGTTAGGGAGTGTCATAATACGATTGGAATTTTCCAGCGTCTGGAACTAAATGCTGTATATAGACACACATGCGTATGTTACGTGAGTGATATCTAGGGCACAGTGGTAAGCTTATGTGGGCCTCTTTTGTCAAAGACGAGGGCAGACGTATAAACTAAACACTAAACTTAAATAAACTACATCTGCAGTGTTAGCGGTTCAAGAGTAAATGATGAATGGATTAAACAAATTAAGGTCCCTCAAACCTCTAATAGTGACAAGGTTAGCATTTCTCTTCATATGCTGACTAAGGAAAAATCAAAGTGCGTGTTGTTCATGTACCTTTAGTGGGGGTGGGTGAGGGAGTAAACAGGCTGGTCAAAGGGGGAAGGGGGGCAGTGTATCAAGACTGTGCAATCACGTAGAAGTAATAGGAGATGAAAGAGCTGCAAACCAGCTAGTGACCTATACCAGCATCATCATTATTAGCATCAATAGCATCATCATTAGCATCATGGTCATACCAGTGAAAGGAAATGGGGTGCTACCTGAGGCGTCCGCCCAACAACGTCCGGCTGGTGTGTCGCCGCGAGGCGGGGGGGGACCTCCCGCAGTGAGGGCCCTGACATGTTAGCGCCCTGGGGCCTTTACTACTGTACACACACAGCATAGACAGCGCTTGAAGGGCCAAACTCACTGTTTAGCAACAAACTGGTACGTTAACACAATTTAGGGTCCTTCGAGAGTCGAAGAGCCTCAAAAGAGAAAAAACTGGGGGAAGTGGGGGTGGGATGGAAAGCACAATTCAAACTTTGAGGATGTTATTTATTTTATTGCTGGAACAGGCAGCTAGCGGTAAGTAGTGGTATGTAGTAAAGTGTTGGGCCTCTGCCAAGTTGGCTGTATATAATTGTAGGACAAAGAGAGGCAGTAATGTGGGTCAGTGGGTCTATTCGCCGTGTGAAATCTCTTGAGCAGTTCAATATATGAGTGGAGGAAGTACAAAATGCAACTGACACGAAGTGTTAACTGTGTGCGTTGTCCTTTTCACACTATGTATTTTCTTACTAAGTGCTTTAACTGAGAGAACAATAAAAATGTTTATCTTCGCATCCAACTTAAGAACTACAATATTGAAGGGAAGAATAAGCCTTAACCTCTTCACTTTCACTATAGCTTATAGTTGTCAAGAGACTGATCCTGAAAGTCTTCAATTGTGCTTTCGGGCAAACCATCTGTGGTTGATATTCAAAAACACTCGGAAATGTCCACAAGGTAACCCATATAGTGGGAATGTCTAGCACATAGCTGGATATAGACTAGAGCAATGTTTATAAAACATTGAATTATCTTCAAATGAATAGGAAACCCCATCCACCCCATAACACAACATAAAAATGTACAAAAAAAAGAAAAAACATTTAATCAAATAAAAATATGGCCTGTTTCTTTAAACAAAAACAAAATATCTTAAAATAAATACTTAATATATCCAATTTTCTATGTAATCAGTCAAAATAAAATAAGTAGCTGGAAATTGTCTAAACAAGTCAACTTTGAATGCAGCAACAACCAGTAAAAACTGCACTGACAAGCAGGTTATAGACAGCAGAGGAGGAGTTTCTGGAAGGACTGTTACCTGCTAGGCCTGCAGACACCATATGGACCTGCGTGGAGTCGGGTTCAAACACGCCATTCAGCTTCTCTTTGGCAGTGGAGTAGGATGCAAAGTAGATAGCTCTGTGGATACAGGAGGGAATGGATGGGAGCTAAGAATACAGTGAATCAATCCATATCGGAACTCTGGGCCTTTACCGTTAAAAACTATATTTTTTGGGGTCATGATGGTCGATACCAATATGTCAAACAAAAAATATGTTTAGTTCTTGTGAGATTGGGGCAAAACTGCAGAGTATAAATGACAGGCAGCGTCCCCTCTGTCCGAATTGACACAGTAAATGGCCTGGAACTCCTGTTGCATTCATTTGGGTAGTTTGTGTGTCACGGATTTCTTCACATTTGTGTTACAGAGTGGGATAAAAATGGTTTGAATTGTCGATCTACACAAAATACCCTGTAATGTCTAAGTGGAAGGAAAATATTTTTTAAAAGATTAATGAAAAATAAAAACACCAATATACCTTGATTACATAAGTATTCACCCCCGATTCAATACATATTAGAAACACCTTTGGCAGCGATTACAGCTGAGAGTCTTCTTGGGTAGGTCTCATAAGAGCTTTGCACACCTGGAGTGTGCAATATTTGCCCATTATTCTTTTCAAAAGAAGGTGTTGGGGATCGCTAGACAGCAACTTTCAAGTCTTCCCATAGATTCAAGCAGATTTAAGTCAAAACTGTAACTTGGCCAATCAGGAACATTCACTGTCTTCTTGGTAAGCAACTCCAGTGTAGATTTGGCTTTGTGTTGTAGGTTATTGACCTGCTGAAAGGTGAATTTCTCTCCCAGTGGTGGAAAGCAGACTGAAGCAGGTTTTCCTCTAGGATTTAGCCTGTGTTTAGCTCCATCCCATTTCTTTTCCTCCTGAAAAACTCCCCAGTCTTTGCCAATGTCAAGCATACCCATACCATGATGCAGCCACCACCATGCTTGAAAATAAGGAGGCAGGATTTTCCCCAAACATAAGGCTTTGTTTGCATTTAGGCCAAAAAGTGTATTCCTTTGCAGTGTTTTTTTTTTGCATTATTACTTTAGTGCCTTGTTGCATGTTTTTCAATATTTGTATTCTGTATAGTTGTATTATTCTTTTCACTCTGTCATTTAGGTCATTATTGTGGAGTCACTACAATGTTGTTGATCCATCCTCAGTTCTCCCATTCACAGCCATGGACCTCTGTAGCGGTTTTAAAAATCAACAATGGTCTCTTGGTGACATCCCTAAGCAGTTTCCTTCCTGTCCTGCAGCTCACTCAGAAGGACGACTGCATCTTTGATGTGTCTGGGTGGTTTAATACATCCCCAGCATCATTATTAACTTAACCATGCTTCAAGATCTATTCAATGTTTGATTTATTATTGTTACCCATCTACCAATCACTGCCGTTCTTTATGAGGCTTTCAAAAAGCTTTGTGGTGTTTGTAGTTGAATCTGTGCTTGAAATTCAATACTTGACTGAGGAACCTTACAGATGTATGTATGGGGGACAGAGGAAAGGTTAGTCATTCAAAAATCATGTAAACTCCTATTATTTCACACAGAGTGAGTCCATATAAAACTTCTGTGATTTGTTAAGCCAAATTTTACTTCTGAACTAATTTAGGCTTGCCTAAACAAAGGTGAATACTTATGCAACGACTATATTTTAGTTATTACATTTTATTAATTTGTAAAAATCTGTAGAATTTTCTTTTGACTTTGACATTATGGTGTATTTTGTGTAGATCAATTACAAGAAATTAAAATTAAATATTTTTCAATCCCACTTTATAACGCAACAATATTCGAAAAAAGCTCAAGAGGGTGTAGACTTTCTACATGCTTAAAAAAAAATGGCCCATTAGGCATGTTCCTGCGTAGTGCGTGTGTCTGTGTGTCTCTACACGCGCATGCCAACCAGGTACCCAAATCACATGCCCTGCTTTAGCTGGAGATTGATCTCCCTTGGAACTCTTATGCTCTCTACTAAACTCAAATCCCAGAGGATTACTCAAGTAAACATTTCCGCTGTGGGGATTAAAACCCAATGACCCGGTTCGCTCACCCTGCCTTTAGTGTACAAGTGTATGTTTGTGAGAGAGTGAGATTGTGTACACTGTGCATGTACGTGTGTGTATGCAGATGTGAGATTGGGTGCATATTCACGCATGTGTGTGTGTGATGTGAAGGCCGATCTCAGTGATGGTGACGCGGACTCATCGAAAGCTTGTGATGCAGAGTGTGTGCTGTGCCAAGTGTGCTGTAGCTGAACAGCTTACTGCCCAGCCAACCATGCTCTAATGGCAGACAATATGCTCAGCTCGGCAGCACTCTGCAGCCCGCTGCCAAGGCCAAGGGGGAGACCAATCAGCCAGGGCACACAGCAGCAGTGTTAGTCACTTCTCTGTCGGGTTAGATAAGGTTCCTTGCTGTGTTAATGTAAGTAAAGCCTGGTGAGCGTCTAGTCGCTGGCAGGGGTTATTGGGAAATGGCATTGGTGTTTTTGCTCTGTTCCAGTGCAGCATTGAGGAGAGTATTGAGGAACGGAACCCTGTAGGAGTAATGAAGGATGATTGATTATTCTCTCCCTCTCTTTCCTCCGCAGTATTTTTTATGGCAGTGTGCGCTCAGGTCAGTCCCTCTCCTTACCCTCTCTCCCTCCCTGCCGTTCTCCCAGTCTACCTCGCTCTACCCATCTATCTCGCTCTCCCAGTCTACCTCGCTCTCCTTCCGCACCTCTCTACTTCCCGGTCTCTCCTGACCCCCCTCTCCCGGCCTTCCTCTCCCAGTCGCTAACCACGTCCACCTAGCTCTCCCCTGACTCCCCCCACCTCGCTTTTTTCATTCCATTCTGGTGTTCCAACCAGCAAAATACATTTATCAACCAGTTCTAATCCCCAAAAAGTACTGCTTTATATCGTTCCTTTTTGTTCCTATTTAAAAAATAATTTCATTTAGAGCAACAATTAAATTACTTCACCACTTAGTGCAGATAGAGCAGCTTACTGTGGAGCAGGTACGCAATTTAAAAATCGGTATAGGAAAGTCGTTAAGAGCTATTTCAGCCACACCCATTGCTGACAGGTGTATAAAAATCAGGCACACAGCCATGCAATCTCCATAGACAAACATTGGCAGTAGAATGGCCTTACTGAAGAGCCTATAGGGAGGAGGTCCGAGACCTAGCAGTGTGGTGCCAGGACAACAACCTCTCCCTCAACGTGATCAAGACAACGGAAATGATTGTGGACTACAGGAAAAGGAGGGCCGAGCACGTCCCCATTCTCATCGACAGGGCTGTAGTAGAGCAGGTTGAGAGCTTCAAGTTCCTTGGTGTCCACATCACTAACAAACTATCATGGTCAAAACACACCAAGACAATCGTGAAGAGGGCACGACAAAGCCTATTCCCCCTCAGGAGACTGAAAACATTTGGCATGGGTCCTCAGATCCTCAAAAAGTTATACAGCTGCACCATCGAGAGCATCCTGACTGGTTACATCACTGCCTGGTATGGCAACTGCTCGGCTTCCGACCGCAAGACACTACAGAGGGTAGTGCATACGGCCCAGTACATCACTGGGGCCAAGCTTCCTGCCATCCAGGACCATCTATACCAGGCGGTGTCAGAGGAAGGCCCTAAAAATTGCCAAAGACTCCAGCCACCCTAGTCAGACTGTTCTCTCTGCTTCCACACGGCAAGCGGTACCGGAGCGCCAAGTCTAGGTCCAAAAGGCTTCTTAGCAGCTTCTTCCCCCAAGCCATAAGACTGCTGAGCAGCTAATCAAAATGGCTACCCGGAATATTTGGAACCGCTGCAGGTGCACTGTTTGAATCGTGTTTTCCCAGGTGCGCTGTTAAATTACCTTTTTGGCAAATGTTTGAAAAATGTAGTTTTATTGGCTGCTTCATTACATGAGTTGCATGTTCTGTTAAGATGCATTATCATAATCTAAATGTGATTTGTCATTCTGAGCACCGTGGGTGGACGCCCTAATGGGTTATGCTCCGAATGCATATGGCCGGTAAATTTAAATATTTCCAGTAAATTTCTCAAATGGCCGGTAAATTTAAATCTTCCCAGTCATGTTGTTCGGCGCCATATTTTACTAACGGAAACCCTGTCACAGACTCTACACAAATGCACAGCCATAGACAGAAACACGGCCGCTGCTCTGCCCACAGTGACTGTGATTAACAGACTGGACCAGGAGGCTGCTGTTGCATAATAGGACTAACAGTCATTTCAGTCTGGGTTCTACCACTAGGGAGTATGAATAATTCAACGGTGGAGATGGAAGATGAGGACAGGGAGGGAGTGGAATTTTACTGGCAATTCATCTGCAGAAATTCATTGGGGGGTTCCCCCCGGAAGAAGATTATGTTCTGATCCAGAATAGTTTAATGAAACATAACGTAAAATGGTGGTAATTGTGTCGTCCTCCGATGTGGTTACAAAAAGGAATTTTGAAACAGAGGTCTCACCAAGGTCAAATAATGGAAAACCAAATACAAATAAATTATCTAGGTTTCCTAGCAACCCCCCTTTAAATCTGAAGTCGCCAGAAAAAGAAAAAAAAACTCCATGAAGTAGCCTACACAGAAAGTCAAGAAAATGCAAGCAGAAGCCACAACAGGAAAAATTATTGCACAGGAAGTGAGATCATACCTGGAAGGAGCCACACCCACCAGGTTGGGCCCCAGGCCTCTGAACAGCGAGCGGGGTCCCTCCTTCTCCAGTATCAACCTGTAGAGGGAGAGGGAGAGAGGTGTATGATTAACTAGCATAGCGCTAAGCATTGAGTATTGATATGCTGAAACATAAGAAAAGATGGCTATCAAGATAGTGGGCTAGTGCCAATGTGGATAATCAGCCTGCCATGACCATAGCACATCGGCCGTTGCCTAAAATTGTCCATTTGTGACTAATACAGTAATAAACAGATGTATTTATGGTCAATTTCCTGATACTGTGTGTTATTGCAAAATGGATGGAAGGAACCAAAAGTGTCAAAACAGATCAATATCGCTAGCTAATGATGTATTACATTAGATTATGCTTTTCAGCATTTGTGTATGTGACGAGTCATGTGACAGTTTTTATACAGCTGGTGGTTCTAATCCTGAATGGTGATTGGTTAAAACCGCATTCCAGCAGGTGTCTATTCACATACAACGATCTGTCTCAGTCAGCTAGGGTTAGGCGGCCTGCCAACCAGTTAGCCCCAGATAAGACCGCAGGCCTCGAATGACGACAGCATGACATTATTAGGGCGGCAGGAAGCCTAGCGGTTAAGAGCGTTGGGCCAAAAACCGAAAGGTCCCTGGTTCAAATCCCCTAGCAGACTAGGTGAAAAATATGTCGTTGTGCCCTTGAGCAAGGCACTTAACCCTTGCTCCTGTAAGTCACTCTGGATAAGAGTGTCTGCTAAATGACTAAAATGTAAATTATAAGGTCAGCAGTGCAAGGAGCTGCTCTATGTAACATGATATTGGCTGATGGGGTTCATGCTGTTTAGTGTCACCCAAGGTTATTCCACCATTAACCTAATTCATGGAGATATTCAAAGCAGTGAGTGTGCTAAGCTTCAATTCAAGGATTAAGGCCTCTAGATACAACTGCGAATTCAGTCAACTACGCAGTCAGTACTGCTCATACAGAACTACTCTGTTCTAAAATGGGATTTGGCCTGCGCTGCATTCGCTGGTGACCCACTTCTGCAGGTTCTTTTCTTCTCCCTGTGCTGCTTAGTGGTGGTGTTGGGTTTCAGTTAGTGCTTCCAGGGCAGAAGCATGGAGGTTGACTGATGGGAAAAGGGGAGAGGAGCAGGCCCAGGAACACTGCAGCAGAGCTGTGATCCAACGGAACGAAGCCTCCAGCCAAAGACTGATGTAAACTTTCCGTAAAAATTAAATAAACAATCTTTCTATCGATATTTCACTGGAAGGGCAATCTTTATATCTAATGAATTAAGTGGATTTGATGGTGATGAGGCTTTCGATGATGCATGGCTACATGAATTTAAGCGTCCTATATTAACTGAAAAGTGGCATTTGAGGCACCTAATTATGTTTAAAGAGAGTCAGTTTGGTTGGATGGTCAAGATTTGTTGAACAGACCTTTTGAAGAATGTTATATGCCCATACAACGATAAGGTCTATGACCCAGTGTATTAGGTATTACCCCTCAAACTGGATGTAGGGCTGTGACAGTCACGTCATTTTGGATGACGCTTATTTGTCAGCCAAATGACCACGGTCATCGTTATAAAAAAATATATATATAAAAAATAAATACAATCGGTTGAATAGCAAATACCTACACCTACTTGGTTCAATCTCCAGGTTTGCATAAATATCCAAATGCATAAGAATATTATAGCTGTTATTTGGACGGATACAGCTCACTAGTCTTTACTACAAGCTAACTTCATGCAATAAACATAGATACAAACAAGTGTTAGCGACTTACCAGTGATGAAGTGCTTCAAACACACAAATGTACCGAGTAACCGGAGCCAAATCATCATCATCGTGGAGTAATAGCCTGAAACCATGTTTGTCTAACCTGGTCCTTGGGCAGTTGATGAAACTTAATTTGGTGGTCTTTTCGCCAACAAAATAGTACGCAACAGCTTTTCGGCATCTTAAAAGCAGGGTTAGTTAGCTAGTTGAAGAAAGTTAGTTGGCTGATAATCATGATGTACATTCCGTGCGACAGTCATTTTTACGTTTAGAATTAGTGTTTTTAGGTATGATGTAGTTTGTTGATTAAGACGACATGGAAGTATGTTAAAAATGACCAACCAAGCATATCACATTGAATGATCAAAAATCTAATAAAATTACAGCCGTTGTCGGTTTATGTGTAAAGTAGGCAATTTAACATGGGAGTAACAGGAGTATCCTACGGCTGTACCCTACTCGGGGGCATGGTCACGTTAAGCCACGCCGTGTGTATATACCGTATTGGTCCGAATATAAGACGGCCTTTTTTCCCCTCGAAATAGGTCCAAAAAAGTCGGGTCGTCTTATATTCGGGGTCTAGTATTCAGAGCGCAGTTTCTCTTCTTCGGCGCTCCCTTTAAATGTCAATACACATTCGCGGGCACAGATGGCGCCAAAAATTCGTTCCGGACGGAGGGAAGAGGCGTCCTTAACAACCAGCCCGTTACCGGTGTTTAAAGATGGAAAGACAGGCTGACCATTTAGAGACAAGTGGCTCAAAAGTGGGCCAGGTCAATAAACAACAGCGGAGGAGCTATGATGCCAATTTCAAAATAATGGTTGTCAATAAGGCAGAGTCATCTAACAACTGCCAAGCTGCCAAGACATTCGGGGTCACTGAGTGTAATGTAAGAAGATGGCGAGCAGAAAAACAACGTCTAAAAGATGCTAACAGTCAGCGAAAATCCTTCCGTGGTCCTCAAAGTGGTCGTTTCATTGAGGTTGACCGGAGGGTTTTTGAATATGTCAGGGAAAAAAGAAGTGAGGGAATGCCCATTACCAGAGCTGTCATCCAGGTTAAGGCCCTGGAAATCGCCAGAGAGCTCAACATCACTGGATTTAAAGCCAGCCTCGGCTGGTGTCGTAGGATGATGCGGCGTAATGGACTGTCACTTAGACGGAGAACGAGTTTGGCCCAACGCCTGCCGTCAGACTTCGGAGAGAAGCTGCTTTCGTTTCAGCGCTTTGTTATCAACCTGAGGAAGAAGCACTCCTACCCGCTGGATCAGATCGGCAATGCTGATCAGACACCCGTTTATTTCGACATGCCAACATCGGTGACTGTCAATAGAAAGGGAGAAAAGTCTGTGTTGGTGAAATCAACGGGCAACGAGAAGAGCCGCGTCACTGTCATGTTGACATGTCTCGCTGGTGGCAGCAAACTCCCCCCGTATGTCATTCTTAAGCGTAAGACTGTGCCAAAGGACCCAATGCCAGCTGGCATTATTGTGCGCGCCCAGGAGAAGGGCTGGATGGAGTCGGGGCTTGTAGTGGACTGGCTAAAGGTTGTGTGGGGCGCACGCTACGGGGGACTGAGGAAGAGGAGGAACATGCTCGTTCTGGATGCGTTCCGCGGACATCTGACTGAGCCCGTGAAAAGTCAGGTGCGAGCAATGAACGGGGATCTTGTGATCATACCAGGGGGAATGACAAGCCAGCTACAGGTGTTGGACGTAGTTGTGAACAAGCCTTTCAAGGATAACCTGCGAAAAAAATACACAGAGTGGCTCCTGTCTGGCAACCACGCACTCACACCGACCGGGAAAATACAGAAGCCGTCAGTCCGTCTACTGTGTGAATGGATCCTGCATGCATGGGATGCTATTCCCTCACAGAGCATCATCGATGGCTTTAAAAAATGTTGCATCTCAAATGCATTGGACGGCAGCGAGGACGACGTGCTTTGGGAGGAGCCGGTGGAAGCGGAGCAGCTGGGGAGCGATGACAGCGAGAGCGAACACAGCGGGGCAGAGGACGTGTGTGAGGGATAGAGAGACATCGGAGGAGAAGTTTGGCGAATTTTTGTTAAGTTTAGTTAAATGTGTGGCCTGTATTTTCTCTGTTATTTAAAAATGTTGCTTTATTATTGCTTGATATTAATTTTGAATCATACTGTACATAGTTTGCCTTTGTGTTTAATTCACTGTGTTTTTAATATTGTTATTTTAAAATAAAATGAAGTTCTTTGTTCGGCAAATCTAGTCTGCAAATCTGTTTTTCTAAATGTTTGTGTTGAAAAACGGGGGGTCGTCTTATAATCAGGGTCGTCTTATATTCGGACCAATACGGTATACTTGTTTGCCACAACACCTTGCTAAAACAAGGAGCAACAATTTCATCACGTTGTAAAGAGTCCATGTTACCCTGGAAACAGACTCGACTGCATGTCTGGCTGTCTTCAGTCAGCTGTTTGTTCCACAACACAACATTCTACAACTGGATAGTCATGTCTCCTCTAGCCTTATAAAATCAGCTCTTAGATGTGAACCAGGCTTACTTTTACTTTACTGCTTTTGGGTAGTTTGTCGACTTGAAAATATATATATTTTTGTATTAAAACAGTTATTAAAATGTTTATGACGTCTTTATCCATAATCGTTGGTTACACGATTATACATTTACTGTGCCAGCCCTAGCTGTATGCTCCCTTTACTATGCCCGTTATGAAACTGGTTCTGCCTCCTGGCCCTGTGGTGTGGAAAATGTTTAAGGTGAGGGCATGTAAACAGCTGTTGATATGAGGGACATTCATTCGCTGTGCCACTGTCCACATTACAATAACAGCCTCAGAGAACAACGTGTCTATTTCCTTGTCCTCTCTATGTATTTCAGTCTCTATTCTAGTCCGGTCAGTGGAGAGCTTTTACAGAGCAATATGAAAGGAGAAGATTAAGGGGTTAATGTTTTCCCTTAGCAATATGGAGTGGTATATAGACTAAATGTTTGTAAAAAAAAAAAACTAAGGCAAAGGGGAAAGTTGCCCTCTACGAGACTAACATGGGCAGTTCCACAGCAAACCAAAACAGAACCACAGTAAGCCTCTCCCCCTGTTCTCATTCTATTTTTACAAGTGAGTGAGGCAGATTTAAGTATGCTATAGAACAACTTGTACTTGTCCAATATGTTAAGGGTTATTTCTGCCTCGTCAGCGATGATGAAAGCTAGGCTACATCCCCAATCTGAAATGATAGATTCTCGCTATGTGGTTCAATATGTATGGGAGACCCATATTGATGCAATCAAAATGCTGAAATGCAAAGCACGATTCCCAGACCTTAGCTAAAGCAAGACTCAGTCATAACATAGTATGACAAACAGGAAGCCAGGATATGACTGTCCTAGCTTGCGTTCCTTTTTTTCTAAGGGGGAAGAGTAAACTCTTTCATTAACCTTAGAGGACGATAAAAATACGTCCTTTTTAAATGGTCATGAAGCGGTCAAGTCATAAGACGTTTCTGTCTGATAACACTCCCGTTTACAGTAACTCATCTTTGAGTCATTGGGTGTTAGGTAATTGTGTCAAAGGGCATGTGAGATACTGTAGGTGGCCTTGAGTGAAACATGGCAAGAAACTTCTAGTCTTCCTGAAACGGTGACCCAACGAACCCTGTCCAAACACAATGTAATATGTAGGCTATTCTCTGTGACCCCTGTGTGATGAACTTACTTGAGGCAGTGGAGGGGTCCCGGAGGGGCCATGCGGGCCACACTGGCCCCATTGACGGTGCTGAGCTGCACCTCAGAGATGTAGGTGACATGAGAAGACTGCAGTCTGGTCTTTACCACTTCCAGCGGACAAGTCAGAACAGCGCCCACTGTTCCCCCACACCTAGACGAGAGAGAGCGAGAGAGAGGAGGAAGACAAGCAGCTCAGAATAGCCAAAGAGTACAGAAGGGTGTTTTTCTTCTTACAATAACAAGAAACACCATAATTGCTCTCGGATCACTAAGATTAGGATCTGTATTTATCCATTTCATAATTATGTTTATTGAGCAGACGACATGCATTTTACCACAATTACCAACGCAAAAATTCTAAGAGAATAATCAAATGGGAAGTTTCTGCCGTCCACCTGACCAAAGCTTTAGGAAAAAACAAAAGTGTGTGCCGTCGGAAAATCCCTCCTTCCAAATCAAAGAGCCAATAAATAATATTGGCCTACACTAGGCTACCGTCAATAAAAGTTGCAGTAAACGTTTACTTGTACAAGTTAAACTTATCAACTAACATAAAAAAAAATTGTCAAAGTGGTTATTCATATCCTTGAATAGCGCAACGGGCATTAGCCTACATAAGCTCCCAGAGCAGTACTTTTGATAAGCGGGAATAAAAGATTAATGAATGATGTGTCGGAGTTGTCTCACAAACAACTTTATTTTGAAAAGCTATTATAAAACGGTGCATTTATGTAAAAGCCAACCAAAAATCACATTAGGGTTTTTATTTATTTATAAAAACGAACAGGCCTATCAAACTTATGCCTTTTTGACTATCGAATAGCATGCAAAACAATAAAGCTATAAAAAAGTATAATCCACATTTGAATAGGCTACCAAATACAAAATAGATAAAATAAGTATGAAATGAAACAAATCAATTACAATGCAAATAAGTAGCAGAGAGCCGGGACAAAAGTAAAACGGGGCAAATGTAACACGGGCGATTTTCAGACAACACAGAAGCTAGAAAAACACTGCCGGGTCCTGCTAGCATGATAGTAGATACCCATAGACTTCCAGCCATTGGGCTAACATTAGTTAACATTGGCTTGCGAAACTACCTCGAAATTCCTTCATAATGGACACAGAGACATACAAATGATATCCACGAGTTCATCCAACTCTGGGGAAATAGATACAATGCATTCGTTAAGTATTCAGACCCCTTCACTTTTTCCACATTTTGTTGAGTTACAGCCTTACTCTAAAAATTTAATTATTGTTTTCCTCAATCTACACACAATACCCCATAATGACAAAGCAAAAACAGGTTAAGACATTTTTGCTAATTTATTAAAAATAAACAGAAATACCTTATTTACATAAGTATTCAGACCCTTTGCGATGAGACTCGAAATTGAGCTCAGGTGCATCCCGTTTCCATTGTTCATCCTTGAGATGCTTCTACAACTTGGGAGTCCACCTGTGGTAAATTCAATTGATTGGACATGATTTGGAAAGGCACACACCTGTCTATACAAGGTCCCACAGTTGACAGTGCATGTCAGAGCAAAAACCAAGCCATGAGGTATAAGGAATTGTCCGTAGAGCTCCGAGCTCCGAGACAGGATTGTGTCGAGGCACAGATCTGGGGAAGGGTACCAAAAGATTTCTGCAGCATTGAAGGTCCCCAAGAACACAGTGGCCTCCCTCATTCTTAAATGGAAGAAGTTTGGAACCACCAAAACTCTTCCTAGAGCTGGCCGCCCAGCCAAACTGAGCAATCAGGGGAGATGGGCCTTGGTCAGGGAGGTGACCAAGAACCCGATGGTCACTGACAGAGCTCCAGAGTTCCTCTGTGGAAATGGAAGAACCTTCCAGAAGGACAACCATCTCTGCAGCACTCCACCAATCAGGCTTTTATGGTAGAGTGGCCAGACAGAAGCCACTCCTCAGTAAAAGGCACATGACGGCCCGCTTGGAGTTTGCCAAAAGGCACCTAAAGGACTCTCAGACCATGAGAAACAAGATTCTCTGGTCTAATAAAACCAAGACTGAACTCTTTGGCCTGAATGCCAAGCGTCACGTCTGAAGGAAACCTGGCACCATCCCTATAGTGAAACATGGTGGTGGCAGCATCATGCTGTGAGGATGTTTTTCAGCGGCAGGGACTGGGAGACTAGTCAGGATCGAGGGAAAGATGAACTTAGCAAAGTACAGAGAGCTCTTTGATGAAAACCTGCTCCAGAGCGCTCAGGACTTCAGACTGGGGCGAAGGTTCACCTTCCAACAGGACAACGACCCTAAGCACACAGCCAAGACAATGTAGGAGTGGCTTCGGGACAAGTCTCTGAATGCCTTCAGTGGCCCAGCCATAGCCTGGACTTGAACCCGATCGAACATCTCTGGAGAGACCTGAAAATAGCTGTGCAGCGACGCCCCCTATCCAACCTGACAGAGCTTGAGAGGATCTGCAGAGAAGAATGGGAGAAACTTCCCAAATACAGGTGTGCCAAGCTTGTAGCGTCATACCCAAGAAGACTCGAGACTGTAAACGCTGCCAAATACTTACGGAAATGTGATCTGTTTATTTTTTATACATTTGCAAAAATGTATAAAAACCTGTTTTTGCTTTGTCATTATGGGGTATTGTGTGTAGATTGATGAGGAAAAAACTATTTAATCAATTTTAGAATAAGGATGTGGAAAATGTGGAAAAAGTCAAGGGGTCTGAATACTTTCCAAATGCACTGTAAAAAGGCCTAATTGCCAAAGTATCCCTTGAAGTAAATTAGTGGGTATTCACCCCCCATGGATTTCTTCACATTTGGATTCAATTGTAATTTTCTGTGGGGGGGGGGGGGGGGGACTAAAATGTCTTAATATAACACTAATATACCTTAAAAATAGATTAGATAAGTATTCACCCGAGTCAATACATGTTAGAAACACATTTGGCAGTAATTACATCTTAGTCTTCTTGGGTTAGTCTCTAAGAGCTTTGCACACGTGGATTGTGAAATATTTGCCCATTATTCTTCAAGCTCTGTCAAGGTGTTAGGGGGTCATTTTCAAGCAGATTTAAGTTAAAACTAACTTGGCCACTCAGGAACATTCACCTTCTTCTTGGTAATGAACTCCAGTATAGATTTAGCTTTGTGTTATAGGTTATTGTCCTGCTGAAAGGTGAATTTGTCTCCCAGTGTCTGGTGGAAAGCCTAATAAAGAAGGGCAGTGATTTGGTAGATGGGGAAACGATAACAAATCGGACATTGAATATCTCTTTCGGCATGGTCAATCTACCCAGACAACAAAGATAGTCTTCTGAGCTGCAGGACAGGAAGGAAACTGCTCTGGGATGTCACCATGAGGTCATTGGTGATTTTAAAACATCTGCAGAGTTCAATGGCTGTGATGGGAGATAACTGAGGATGGATCAACAACATTTATAGTTACTCTACAATAAGGACCTAAATGAGAATACAAATATAAGCAGGTTTTTCTTTGTTGTGTCTGGGTGGTTTAATACATCATCCACCGCTTGACCATGCCGAAAGAGATATTCAATGTCCGATTTGTTATCATTTCCCCCCCATCTACCAATTCACTGCCCTTCTTTATTAGGCTTTCGAAAAGCTCCCTGGTCTTTGTAGTTGAATCTGTGCTTCAATACATGACTGAGGGACCTTACAGATTAATGTATGGGGGACAGAGGATAGGTTAGTCATTCAACTCATGTCAATCTCTATTTCACAGAGTGAGTCCATGTAACGTATGTGATTAAATTAATAAGCCACATTTTACTCTTGAACTAATTTAGACTTGCCTAAACAAAGGATGTGAATACTTATGCAGACTATATTAGAGTTCATTTGTATTAAATTTGTAGAACTTTCTTTTCACTTTGACATTATGGAGTAGCCTAGTGTGTAAATGAATGACAAAAAGTCACAATTATAGCCATTTCAATCCCACTTTGTAACAACAAAATGTGAAAAAAAATCAAGGGAGGTGAATACTTATGATACCCACTGTAAATGGGGTTTATACACCCATATTTCTTGACAACCCCTACTTAAGCCAATGATGTTTTACAAAAACTCCATACAATAGGTGTAAGCAGTGGTCCTAGTAAATAATTAAAGTTACCAGCACAGCACACCCATTCACTATACATTAGAAACAGCTTATTATCATCATCATTACCAAAATTAAGGTTCTCTTTACCAAAAAGGATGCGGTAATGAGATGTGTTTCGTAATAAGAGGCCCTTAGCTCAATATGCAAGTAATAGGAGACAGCCATTACGAGTCAGCAAACAATTGACCCAATCACTAAAGCCCATTCATGCCTCCATGTTGGTACGGTAATGGTCCTCTAAGTTTTTGCCAATTTGAGATTTGTAGTCATTTCAGTAATGAGAAGATCAAGTGTCGTAAAGGGGGTGTTTGAGAATAACACTCATTCTGAAGTTTACATACACTTAGGTTGGAGTCATTAAAACCCATTTTTCAACCACTCCACACATTTCTTGTTAACAAACTATTGTTTTGGCAAGTCGGTTAAGACATCTACTTTGTGCATGACACAAGTAATTTTTCCAACAATTGTTTACAGACAGATTATTTCACTGTATCACAATTCCAGTGGGTCAGAAGTTTACATACACTAAGTTGACTGTGCCTTTAAACAGCTTGGAAAATTCCAGAAAATGATGTCATGGCTTTAGAAGCTTCTGATAGGCTAATTGACATCATCTGAGTCAATTGGAGGTGTACCTGTGGATGTATTTCAAGGCCTAACTTCAAACTCAGTGCCTCTTTGCTTGACATCATGGGAAAATCAAAAGAAATCAGCCAAGACCTCAGAAAAAGAATTGTAGACCTTCACAAGTCTGGTTCATCCTTGGGAGCAATTTCCAAACGCCTGAAGGTACCGCGTTCATCTGTACGCAAGTATAAACACCATGGGACCACGCAGCTGTCATACCGCTCAGGAAGGAGATGTGTTCTGTCTCCTAGAGATGAACGTACTTTGGTGCGAAAAGTGCAAATCAATCCCAGAACAGCAGCAAAGGACCTTGTGAAGATGCTGGAGGAAACAGGTACAAAAGTATCTATATCCACAGTAAAACGAGTCCTATATCGACATAACCTGAAAGGCCGCTCAGCAAGGAAGAAGCCACTGCTCCAAAACTGCCATGAAAAAGCCAGACTACGGTTTCTAACTGCACATGGGGACAAAGATCGTACTTTTTGGAGAAATGTCCTCTGGTCTGATGAAACAAAAATAGAACTGTTTGGCCATAATGACCATCGTTATGTTTGGAGGAAAAAAGGGGACGCTTGCAAGCCGAAGAACACCATCCCAATCGTGAAGCACGGGGGTGGCAGCATCATGCTGTGGGGGTGCTTTGCTGCCGGAGGGACTGGTGCACTTCACAAAATAGATGGCATCATGAGGAAGGAAAATTATGTGGATATATTGAAGCAACATCTCAAGACATCAGTCAGGAAGTTAAAGCTTGGTCGCAAATGGGTCTTCCAAATGGACAATGACCCCAAGTATACTTCCACAGTTGTGGCAAAATGGCTTAAGGACAACAAAGTCAAGGTATTGGAATGGCCATCACAAAGCCCTGACCACAATCCTATAGAATATTTGTGGGCAGAACTGAAAAAGCGTGTGCGAGCAAGGAGTCCTACAAACCTGACTCAGTTACACCAGCTCTGTCAGGAGGAATGGGCCAAAATTCACCCAACTTACTGTGGGAAGCTTGTGGAAGGCTACCCAAAACGTTTGACCCAAGTTAAACAATTTAAAGGCAATGCTACCAAATACTAATTGAGTGTATGTAAACTTCTGACCTACTGGGAATGTGATGAAAGAAATAAAAGCTGAAAAATCATTTGCGCTACTATTATTCTGACATTTCACATTCTTAAAATAAAGTGGTGATCCTAACTGACCTAAGACAGGGAATTTTTATTAGGATTAAATGTCAGGAATTGTGAAAAACTGAGTTTAAATTAATTTGGCTAAGGTGTATGTAAACTTCCGACTTCAACTGTAAGTGAAGAAATGTAATTAACTTGTGCGCATCTAAGGACTACTCCTCTAGATGATGCATAATGGGGGAAACCAATGGGTTGGGCCAAAGCCAGAACACACATGGGTAAAGCGGCGTTTTGAAAATGTGTCATTGGCTTTGATACTCTGATTGGTTAGAGATGATCCAATCGCTGATTACTTTGTACAACACCCCTCATTGGGTGAAAGAAAACGTTTTTTAAATGACATTTTTTTTACAGACACGTTTTACGTAATAAATATTATAGTTTAATGTAAACTTCCCCCCCTTACCCCTCCCCCCTCAGTTTTGCATGATCCTGCGAGCCCCATCGAGTCGGAGTGGTATCCCAATTCAACTGGGCAGAAGGTATCCTAGCTGTTAAGAGCGTTGGGCCAGTAACCAAAAGGTCGCTGGAAAAAAACCTGTCAATGTGCCCTCAAGCACGGCACTTAACCCTAATTGCTCCTGTAAGTCGCTCTGGATAAGAGCGTCTGCTAAATGAGTAAAATGTCAACTTTGAGCGAGGCGTAGTGCCTTTTCAGCCCTCTAAAAGTTGGCCCTCCACATGAAGCGAATAGAGATGCAGACTTCATTTCGAGTGGTTCCCAAAACTCCCATGAAGCTCTGCGACCCAAGGCTGAAGAGTTGCTTCAGGAAAGAAGGCTTAAAAAAATACTAAGATGGCAGCAAATGTAAGTAATTTAACTTCATAACGAATCATACAAAAAAAAATTACAGATAAAGGGGCAAACAGCAGTTGTTACATCCATTTTTGGACTTATAAATTAAATGTACCCATTGATTCTTGAAGAACATAACTTATAAATGACTCATGAACTTAATAGTTCAACTGTTGTACCTCATCAGATCCCAAAATACAAGCTGTTTTTACTCCAATGTTTGTAAACAAAGTAAATGTAAACAAACACTATATAGCTTCAAAACATGGTTAAAACTATCATTTTGATATCACGGATGCCAGTCCTTGCATCCATAGCTTTCTTTGAATTGAAGGGCTGTCCCCAACAAAAAAAATAATCTTAGTCGACCAAGAGTGGTCTGTTCTTTCGACTAATCGACATTTTAAAACGTGTATTTTCCCATATATAGACACACCCTGTTTGAATAAAATCAACTATATGTAGGCTACTGAGCTTGTCTGATGCTTTAAGCACTGCAATAAAAAATGAAGACAAATGACTAAAGAGGGCGGCAGAGATCAGTATAGCCTAACCAGAAGGGAAAAACACGTTCCTGACCCTCCTCCCACTGCCGAAGCTGCCGGTAATAGGCTACACCATTGGTTGGCAACCTTTTCCCCATTTGGAGTACCAGGTTATCGTACCATGTCTACTGATCTGCGTGCCGGTTCGGATTTTCATATGCACATTTTTGTGGAACAGTTTAATTTCATTTAGAATAAAAGTCTTCATCTCTCAAAATTCTATCTAAATGAAAATTATACAAATCTAAAAGTAACTTCTGCCAATATGTAAAACTAGCCTACATAAAGCCAACAAATAAAAACATTGCAACATTGAAAATACCCTGATAAAAGTAATTATCCTATAAATCACATTGGCTATGCATGGCCTGTCTGCAAGGCAGTTGAAACATTGTATCAACTATTGTATTAACTTGGTCTTGTGTGAAGCATGTGCTAGCAAACTTGCATCATTGTATAAAATATTCTGGGCCAGTGAGCTCCTGACAGACACACTGCTGTATGCTATTTGCCAAGGGATAAGAAGTAATCAGCTAGGCCTATTTTATGACGTTTCCACCGGATCAGAGCATGACCATTTTTCCCCCTTTCATGCTGAGTGGTAATTAAAAGGGAGTGAGCTGGAAAGATTTTCCAAATAGCTATGTTGAGGAACTATTGTCATTCTGTTTTGCAGTTCTCATTTGTTGTTTATATGGTATGTCTGTATTTGTTGTATGAGAAACATAAGGAAAGCTATTATGGCCTCCAGTACAGGCATTGTGAAAAACAAGGCTTGTCATCAATTAATTACGTGGTAGGCTATCCTTTGGCTTGCCTGGCTACCCAAACTCCTTGCTCCAACAAACATTAGACACCGATGGGTTGGGCCAAAGCCAGAACACACATGGGTAAAGCGCCGTTTTGAAAAAGTGTCATTGGCTTTGATACTCTGATTGGTTAGAGATGATCCAATCGCTGATGACTTTGTACAACACCCCTCATTTTGACATCACCTCAAACAACTTCAACAATGGCAGTCTTAGACTGAAGTCTGTAGCGAACATAGAGAAACGGAAAAATTCATTTTGAGACGTCAGGCAATCCTTTGGCGGCTTCTGCTGTGTGCGAGTGATGTAGTGATGTCCTATTCCCTAGGGTTATTTCTCTCCCTAACACTAGTAGCTCCGTTTGAGGGTCACTCCCCCACCAAGGGACACTCGAAAACGAGGGGGAGGGCTAAGGGGTGTATTGGGATTGAGCCCATTTACCGCTGCTGCCTTTCAAAAGACCAAACCAAATACAGGCAAGAGTGACCTTCGGCACAGATTCAGGGGGCTGTTCCAGGTTGCTGCCTGCGCCTGTGTATGTATACAACCAACAGACACTGAGAAGAAATAAGACAGGCCTTGAGCCCTGTTGTGAGGAACATCAAGGGGATTAGCCATCATTATTTGGTTCTTGCTGACGTAACTGTCACAATGTGGCCCTAACATTGAAGTTTTCAGAATTCAATTAAATAAAATCTGGTTTGGCAAGATGGGCCTTACTTGTTAATTTTTTTTTACATTTGCCCAGAGGTTGAAAGGAGAGTCTGATGGAAAACAAGACAAAAGGGGAAAAAAAGCTAAAAGGAGGAAAAATATGCTGGCACTGCAACTGAATCAATCATCTTGCCTTTCTCGAAAGTACAAAAGACTGGCATACAAAACAGGCCATCTAGTGTTAGGCTATCCTAAGCCAAAACTGTACTAGAATTTGAGTTCCATGACAAGTAGGCATATTTTGTCCTATTGTGAGAATTACCCTAAGCATATTGGTCAAATCTACAATCTCAACTTACTTGGAGCAGTCAGACATTGATTCAACACAAAAAAAACAAGTCACTACAGCAATCTAGGCTACACACAGGTGCCCTTTAACCCTTCCAATTTCCCCATTGTCAGCTAGATGTATTGAATGTGAAGGTCTACAATGTAGCTAAGGTAGAACATCACTTCAGTATCACATTGACACACAGATGACGCCAATGATGTACACTACAGGAACGGAAACAGACACTTAAGTAGTGTGGTCAAAGTCGCAACAGACTTTCTTTTAGTGTTTTTTCTAAATGTAAGGTAGCTACATTGACACTTGAAATTAACACTGGGAGACCTGTGTGAACAGTGAACACTTACTCAATATTTCCACTGACATGCATACCAAGCCGATCCTGTGAGTGTCAAATATATGGATGTGTCTAGCTATATTGAATCCAAACCTGTGTTTTGACCTGACCTTTTTATCCAGTCTATGGAAAACCTTGAAGGCAAATATGGTAGATATTGCTGTAGGTTATAGTGGTTGATACGGGGAAATAGTGGTTGATAGAGGATGCATTGCATAGGCCAAGACATATTCTCCATCTTTCAATGGTGTGTTTTATAAGGTTTGTCGGTTATGCCAATGCACTAAAAATATGTCAAGAAATGTCATCAGACCATGATATTCGGCGATATAACTATAACTACTCGGTCAACCGCTGCTCGAGGAAAACAAAGGCTCGTGCGTCACTGTCGTGGACTTCATTCACGAGCATACTCTTCTGTCGTCGGCCAAACCACGAACCCTGTGGAGTGTGATGTATACTAATATCAACCTGTTTGTCGAATTTAATAATGCGGTGTGTGATAAACTAGTGGCTAGCTAAACCGTGGTAGCCTACCTTGATGCTGCAAGACAGAGCTAATTAGTTAACTAGCTGCTGAGGATGGCACCGGTAGTGACAGCTGCTAATGTTACATGCCCGCGCGCCATGGAAAATGTATTGTTTTCTCCAAGATGGTCATTAAAGCTTATTTTGACTCTGTAAAAGACAGTCAGGTCATGTCATGTTAACTAGTTAACATTATTCGTAACAAATAACTCACCCTAGGTATCCCTTTGACTCATTCTTTAGCATTCTCCGAACCAGCACACTCTTCGGACTGCGTCAATGAGGAAGACTTGGTTGGATGGCGAACGGTCTACCACCCCGATGACGATATGCGCACTTCGATTTATCAGCGACGTTGATTATAAAATCAGTAAAACTGTGATTGATTGCCGTTGCCTAACGTAAGACTGCTAACGTTAGCTAATCAACTAACGTTACACAAACCCTTCTCTGCTTCGCGCAGGCCCCTTTGAACGGACAGACCTTATTTTAATTCCTATGACGTTAAACTACAAAACAAGAGGAATTCTAAATGAACATTGTCGATGTATTATCAGTTCAATCAATCGGTATTTGCTACAGTCACCCTAGCTTGCATTTATTATATGTTCATCGCTGCAATGAGGGAGGATAGATCATAGTATTTGCTGTAAAATAAGATGCAAAACAGAGCCGGCTATTGGCCAGTTAGCTTAAGTACGTCACTTTGTCTCCGCCCGATCACGCATCTTTCACATGATCACTCCGTGATCAATCAGCTAAGGGCCATAAACAGGGCAATTTAGGCCTTACAGGAATAAATAACTCATTAACTTTTTTTTAAACAGTATTGGTTATGAGGATATGGCTGGTGGTCATATTTGACTATTCAAAATGCTTTGCTGATGAACCTATTAACATGTCATGCACATTGCATTAATGCATAAAGTTGTCATATTCTGTCATATGCATAAAGTTGTCATATATATGATAGATTTAGCTATATTAGTCAATGAGTAGATAGAAAACGGCACCATCAGTAATATTGACCATTAGGGCCTCTTCTGATCACCAATTGTGATATAGCTGACCTTTGCCCTCTCACACTGATGAGACAGAAATGGTTATATCATAATAGTTTTTTATTAAAAATTACATGACATACCAGCAGTAACCTTCACACTGAACACCATTCTCCATGTAAAGAAACTGAAGCGCTTGACACAGGAGACCACAGATGTGTGCAATCAGCTAAGCAAGGCTTGCAAGCAGTCAGTTGACAATTAAAGGGACATTCCACTCAAGCTAGAATTCAAATAAACAGGTAAAGGTTGACCTGATTGGAAAATATAAATTAACTGGATTTCCATGTGATAATAAATGGACATTTTAGGATCCTAGAAATATAAACACACAATACAGTAATACAAATTACAGCAGCGTTTCCCAAACTCGGTCCTCGGGACCCCACGGGGTGCACTTTTTTTCTTCTTCCCCCTAACACTACACAGCTGATTCAAATGACCAAAGCTTGATGATTAGTTGATTATTTGAATCAGCCTTTTAGTCCTTGGGATCCCCAGGACCCGAGTTTGGGATACCCTGAATTACAGTGAAGGCCGCTACTTCTTCATACAGTGAGGGAAAAAAGTATTTGATCCCCTGCTGATTTTGTACGTTTGCCCACTGAGAAAGAAATGATCAGTCTATAATTTTAATGGTAGGTTTATTTGAACAGTGAGAGACAGAATAACAACAAAATAATCCAGAAAAACGCATGTAAAAATTTTTATAAATGGATTTGCATTTTAATGAAGGAAATAAGTATTTGACCCCCTCTCAATCAGAAAGATTTCTGGCTCCCAGGTGTCTTTTGTACAGGTAACGAGCTGAGATTAGGAGCACACTCTTAAAGGGAGTGCTCCTAATCTCAGTTTGTTATCTGTATAAAAGACACCTGTCCATAGAAGCAATCAATCAATCAGATTCCAAACTCTCCACCATGGCCAAGACCAAAGAGCTCTCCAAGGATGTCAGGGACAAGATTGTAGACTTACACAAGGCTGGAATGGGCTACAAGACCATCGTCAAGCAGCTTGGTGAGAAGGTGACAACAGTTGGTGCGATTATTCGCAAATGGAAGAAACACAAAATAACTGTCAATCTCCCTCGGCCTGGGGCTCCATGCAAGATCTCACCTCGTGGAGTTGCAATGATCATGAGAACGGTGAGGAATCAGCCCAGAACTACACGGGAGGATCTTGTCAATGATCTCAAGGCAGCTGGGACCATAGTCACCAAGAAAACAATTGGTAACACCCTACGCCGTGAAGGACTGAAATCCTGCAGCGCCCGCAAGGTCCCCCTGCTCAAGAAAGCACATATACAGGGCCGTCTGAAGTTAGCCAATGAACATCTGAATGATTCAGAGGAGAACTGGGTGAAAGTGTTGTGGTCAGATGAGACCAAAATAGAGCTCTTTGGCATCAACTCAACTCGCCGTGTTTGGAGGAGGAGGAATGCTGCATATGACCCCAAGAACACCATCCCCACCATCAAACATGGAGGTGGAAACATTATGCTTTGGGGGTGTTTTCCTGCTAAGGGGACAGGACAACTTCAGCGCATCAAAGGGACGATGGACGGGGCCATGTACCGTCAAATCTTGGGTGAGAACCTCCTTCCCTCAGCCAGGGCATTGAAAATGGTTCGTGGATGGGTATTCCAGCATGACAATGACCCAAAACAAGGCAACAAAGGAGTGGCTCAAGAAGAGGCACATTAAGGTCCTGGAGTGGCCTAGCCAGTCTCCAGACATTAATCCCATAGAAAATCTGTGGAGGGAGCTGAAGGTTCGAGTTGCCAAACGTCAGCCTCGAAACCTTAATGATGACTTGGAGAAGATCTGCAAAGAGGAGTGGAACAAAATCCCTCCTGAGATGTGTGCAAACCTGGTGGACAACTACAAGAAACGTCTGACCTCTGTGATTGCCAACAAGGGTTTTGCCACCAAGTACTAAGTCATGTTTTGCAGAGGGGTCAAATACTTATTTCCCTCATTAAAATGCAAATCAATTTATAACATTTTTGACATGCGTTTTTCTGGATTTTGTTGTTGTTATTCTGTCTCTCACTGTTCAAATAAACCTACCATTAAAATTACAGACTGATCATGTCTTTGTCAGTGGGCAAATGCACAAAATCAGCAGGGGATCAAATACTTTTTTCCCTCACTGTATATATCATCTGTTACAACCAAATGTGTGATTGAACACAGGATCACAGTATATTATGGACAGCATTTTAAACGGTAAAAATGTTAACGAATGTACTATTTATTGGAGATGGTCAGTTTGCCTCAAGGTTTGCAGTGGTGTACTACTCATAGCAAATATTTTAGTCAGACCATTCGTGTCACACGTGAAAATGATTGCCAGGGACTTTATCAATATTTGAGTCCAAAGGGGAGACTAGACTAGAATAGGATTTACAGGCTTGGCAGCAAGGCCTACATAGTCTGTTTTGAACTCGACCACTGGAGTCTCATTAATTGTCATAGAATGTCATGAAGGATTTCGTAGAACTTTGAATGCCTATTAATTTTCTTGTTTGTTTCTTCACTACTTTTTTAAATAGAAATTTCACTAAAGCATTTATAAATGCATGAAGTGGCAGTTTATTGAAGGAAGTGAAAGGACGCATCGTGGGCCTCTCCTTCCTCATTGGAGAGCAGGAGGCAAGTTCTTCCTCTGGTGGTGGTGTAGGACACCGTGAACAAGAGGATGTGGTGTTAAAAAATAGATAACAAATACTGATCATGCACAGCACTACCTGTATGCTTTATTTCTCATCCTGGATGGTCGGAAGGGCATATGGAGGATCCTTGGTGGTCTCACCCTGAATGATCTAGTGGGGCATTAGCAGAATCCTCGGTGGTCTCACCCTGGATGGTCTAGTGGAAATGAGCAGAATCCTCACTGGTCTCACCCTGAATTGCCTAAAGGGGAGCGAGATCCACTTATCGTTTTGTTGATGAAGATCTTTGGAAGCTTCGTAAAGGAAATTAATAGATAAAGGAGGGTTTTGGAATGACAGTTTTGAAATAGTTGAAAGGACTGGTTGACAAAAAAAGGAAACATTCTTGGGTCTCTCCTTCCTCATTGGGGAGAAGGAGGGAAGATGG